TTCGAGTCTGAGTTCGTTTTTTAGCTCTATACTATTATATTTTAGAACGATAGTCAATAAACAAGCCTAAAAAATAGTTCATTTAGCAACTCGAGATTCTTATTGACTTTCATTCTATATAGCTATAAAAAATCGAACTCTATATAAAAGTAACAAAGCATTATTCAATAAAAGGCATACTCTTTCAAACAAAAAACTGACCCATCAGCTACAATGAGCTCCTTCAAGGATTGTAGAATGCCTCATGAAAAAAAATACAAGCGATTTGCTACTTTGTTTGAAAAAAAGCATATTTTTCAAGAAAACGAATTAATACATAAAAAGTCATGCTTATTCATGAAAGATCAGATCTCAGATTACCTCTTCCAAAGAATTTATCTTTATTTCGATAGTTTTGACGAAAAGTAACTTTTTTTTTCTTTTGATAAAATTCTAAATAGTTCAAACTCGACTTACCAATTCTATCATCAACATAATCAATATTAATTGGTCTTCCTGTATGTAATTCAGGTAAATAAATATCATGGAGACCTTTCATTTCTAATGGATGTGCTTCATTTAATTCAATATAAATATCTTTAGCTAAAGCTAAATAAGTACTACTCATTCCACTTGAATTAGTTAAATAAATTCTTCCATCAGAAGTAACATCACAAGCTTCAATAATAGCAACATCAATTGATGGAAATATTCCTTCTCTTATATATCTACTAACATGACTTAAATGCATATCGATAAAATTTAATTTTCCATTATTAATTAATTTTCTTAAATCGGGATGTGATTGATAAGGAATTTTTAATTTCAATCTACCAGTACGTGCTAAAACTCCATCAAGTTCATCACCAGTTGATGCACCGGTATATAAATTAATAGAAAAATTTTCTGGATTTTTTGAATTTTTAATTCTTTGAGCAAAAGCACCGGGTATTACTTTTGGATAACCAGCTGGTGTAAAACCAGATGCTCCTATTGTGATTTTTTCCGGTAATTTTTCTGCAACATCTTCAGCTGACATTAATTTCGATTTAATAAATGAATTTATTCGAGATTCATTTGAAAAACATCGATGTGAGATTTTAATCAAATGTTTACGACAAAACATTTTCCTTTTCTTTTAACTATTTATATCTAAAATAGAAAAAAAAAAAAGAATGAAATATTCGAATGTTGGGATCCTACTAAATCGAATAAATTTGAATCTAAATATAAATCATAAATATCTATTTTAATATGAAAATTAATTTTTATATAAATAAAAATATTCTTTAGATTAAATCCGATAAATAATTCTATTCAGAGAAAATAATTGATCGAATTAATACCTGAAAAAAATCAAATAGGAAGACGAGTAGAAGTTAAATAATAAATAATTAAATCTATAACTGAAAGAAAACATATATAAACTTTATTCAAGTTCAAACGTTTCTTTTGGTTTCGAACTTTTAGTATGCACTCGAACTATTCCATCTGGACAGAATAATAAGAAAAAGAAAAAAGGGAAAACTATCACATATATATATATACGTCTAGATCGATAATACAGCTGATTTGTTTGGCCAGGTTAGTGTACTTGAATAAAGAAAAGAAATGATGACGTGTACAGTTCATTCTTTGTTTGTAAAAAAGTACATTAGCATGGTCAAACGAATCAGCTGTATCGAGGTATATATATATGTATTACTTGTCTCTCTCTTTTTCTTTTTTTTTTGTTTTTATTCTTTTCTGACGCAATGGTTTGAGTGCATACTAAAAGTTCGAAATAAAAAGAAAGATTTGACCTTGAGCACAGTTCAAATGTATTTTCTGTTAGTTATATATTAAATAATTTATTATGAAATATGGCTGAAGTTAAAAATAATTCTTGATAATATGAGATAAACATTAACTTACTTATTGTTAACATTTTAAACTATAGAAAGTTGAACCAATGATGAAAATGAGAGCTGTTTCTTATGTACTTTACCCTTATATAAACAAGTTTGAATAAATTCGATAAAAACTTGATTGGAATAGTTTTGTTTGTATCTTTGAATATTTTAATAATTTTCCAATAGTCAATCATTAATGATAAAATTTTATCTATAAATATATCTGTTCGATGCATAACAAACAGTGTCGATCATTTAAAACTATCCTGTGGAACACAGTATAACCGTCACATCTGAGAAAAATCTAAGAATAATTATTGCACTCTTATAATCGCTGTCATTAAATGCTCAAAGAAATATTTTATGCAACAAAAAAAAAGAAAAAATATTTCTAAATTGTTTTTATAATCTTCATATCATAAGGATAATAAATTAAAGAATAGAGACTTTGATCCATCGATTAATTTATTCGAAAAACCTAATTTAATCGTTTAATTGGCTCAAACTTTTCTGGTCTAAAGAACAAGTACCTATACAAAGAAAAGATATCTAATGCGAGGAAGCATCATTTGAGGGTATATTGTGAACAGAAGATCGATCAATTCTATTGGCCTATCTATGCTACTACTAATTAACATAATTCATTGTCTATTAATGTTAAAAAAGTCTAACATATTCAGAGCTATGCCTGGGTCGATCGTCGCCTTACTTGCCGTCTGCATTACGGCCGTAACTCGTCGTGTCGTATACGACCGGCGTATGTATGCCTCCATACAATAACCTTTTCCGTTGAAATTATATAATATTCTCCTCAACGTGAAGGGGAGGGCGGGGACAAGTGTTTTGTAACCTCCCTCTCGCGATCAAAAGAAATTTTTTTTTTTTTATTTGAATTTATCTCAACGACAGGTCCATCATAAACATTTATTCAATAAATTAAATAGTACTGTCTTAAAATACTACTTTATTTATTAAATAAGTACTTACAATTGAATGTCTTTGAAATGAATCTGAATAAAAATGATATTGTTTCATATTCATTTAGATTTTACAAAAAAAATATAAATACTTACTATTGAATGCAATGTGAAGAAAAAAACATGATTTATTTATTTTTTGTGAAACTAAGCATTGGATTTGATGCAATATTCAGAAAAAACAAGTCTTCGCAAAGATGTGCATCAAAACTCACGACTAAGTTACGGTTGTATATGATAGTCGTTTACGTTCATGGTAAAAACAGCAATCGTATTTGAATGATAGGCTTTATCAATATTGATTGTTGCTAGAAAAATCCAAGAGGTTTGTTTGAAAATTATAATTGATATGTAAAATATGTTGAATGTGTATCTATCTGGTCAAGATTCATATAAGGTTGAATGAACTTTTTACTTTCATTAAATTCTTTTTATAAAAAAGTTCATTTTGGATTTCTTTTATAAGAATTTATATATGAAAATAAAACTTAATATATTAGCTTATGAATACACAACTCATGGTCACATTTATTAGTGTCGATTAATGAAGTATCAATAATAATCAACCAACTTTTTGTTTGTGTTCATATATAATTAAAAGTTGACAAAAAATCTTAATGTTTTCTCTAACCAACAATCAATTCTTGTTGTTTTTCTATCATTATTTATATGCAGTAGCTGGTGAACCAAACATATTCATGATTAGACATCATTCAGTCTGAGTTAACAAATTTAAATATTGGTTTCATGCAAAAACTACATAAATTATATTTATTAGTGGCAAAAAAAAAGTGAATAACTTAAAATCAAATAGTATTTGTGCATACCTATTTACAATGAAATAAGTTTTTTTTTGTAGGAATACACCAGTTGTTCTAGTACCACTAGATCGTCCAATCTTATCGAATAATATTCTAATGATAGAATATGTTATGTATAAAACATCAGTATGAACATGATGGTAAAATGTAGATGAGATGATCGATGATGCTTATGTTCACGTCCATCGATCAACTCTGAATGGCAAAAGATAAATTTCATTTGTAGAGAACATTGTCTTGAATCGATTTCAACCTATCATCGATAACATTGTCAAGTTTATAGAGCAATAAATCTATTTCAGGATATATGTTAACATACTAGTTCTCTTCTTTATACCTAATCTAGAAAAAAAAAACTCAAATGATTTTTTTCTCAGTATTACTGTAAAATAATTCATTTGTTCAGAGACGTATTGTTATGATTCGTTAGATCTTTTGAATCATACTGAATAATGCAGCGAGTTGG